CACAGAATTCATCATAGAGCTCATCACAAAGTTCATCACAAATTTCATCATAAAGTTCATCACAAAATTCATCATAAAGTTCATCACAAAATTTATCACAAAGTTCATCACAAATTTCATCGTAAAGTTCATCACAAAACTCATCATAAAGTTCATCACAAAATTCATCATAAAGTTCACCACAAACTTCATCATTGAGTTCATCACAAATTTCAGCATAAAGTTTTCCTTAAATTTCATCACAAACTTCATCACAGAATTTGTCTCAAAATTCATCACGAACTTCATCACAAATATGATCAATTATCAAGTAAATTAGTCAAAATTCACCACAAACTTCATCATAGAGTTCATCACAAATTTCATCATAAAGTTCATCACAAATTTCATAACAGAATTCGTCTCAAAATTCATTTCAAAATTCATCACGAATTTCATCACATATGATCAATTATCAAGTAAATTAGTTAATTTATGAGCGCAGAACTGCGTCGCTAATTGGCCCTGGAATACTGCGCACTTTAATCAAGATAATTAAATTCCCGTTCCAGTCCATTCCCGGCCACTTCCGGTCTAATTAATTCCAGATGGAATCCTGAACAACACTTGCATTATTCCTTCATAATTCCCGCTGGAATTCTGGAATATTCCAGTTGCAAGATAATAAAATTTTTTTACTAATTTTAAAAATAAAAAATTAAATGACTAATTTATCAGAGATATGTCATAAACTCATTAATTATTACAAACAATATTAATGTTTAGCATTAAATGGATTTATTTATTGAATATTAATCATGAATGCACACATTTAGTTCTTTTAAATGTATTGCATAAATAAAAAATTGTTAATTGTTGCTTTGCATATTGCATTGCATATTGCACTGCATATTGCACTGCATATTGCATTGCATATTGCACTGCATATTGCACTGCATATTGCACTGCATATTGCACTGCATATTGCACTGCATATTGCACTGCATATTGCATTGCATATTGCACTGCATATTGCACTGCATATTGCACTGCATATTGCATTGCATATTGCATTGCATATTGCACTGCATATTGCACTGCATATTGCACTGCATATTGCACTGCATATTGCACTGCATATTGCATTGCATATTGCATCGCATATTGCCGCATGGAGCATCATTAAGCATGGCGACTTTCGTGCAGGTTTTTCGATCGCCGCGCAAGCTATTGATTATTTCCATTGAGCCGCCATTTTGAAAATGAACCCTTCTGTGTATGAGGGAAGTGAGGGAAGTGAGGGGAGTGTTAAGCCGAGTGAGGGGAATAAGGGGAAATAAGGGGAAAATGAGATAAATAAGGGGAAAATGAGATAAATAAGGGGAAAATGAGATGAATAAGGGGAAAATGAGATAAATGAGGGAGTCCAGATAATGCGAATAAAGAGAATGAGAAATGTTAGAGAGGAGAGAAATTGCACAAGCTTAATGTTAGAATGACTGAGAGATTTATGTCAGAAATGATGAATTAGGTCATTTTATTATATTAACTTCTTAATAATATTTAATTGAAAGCAATCTTTTCGTATCGGGGTAGAGGGAAACTGGTTTTAATAGTTAGAGGGTTTAGCGAAATGGAATTGGATGAGGCAATTCGATACCGAAATTGGGAAAAAGGAAAATCAAGCCTATTACAAAATTTTAGAAAAAACTTGAAGTATTTAAGATGAAATTCTTCAAATATATGAGATTAAAAATGTAAATTCGATAATGTTAATTTACGCGAATTATAAGGAGTTGAAGAATAAGAGGGTAGTGAGGGTAGTGAGGGCAGTGAGGGTAGTGAGGGCAGTGAGGGTAGAGAGGGTAGAGAGGGTAGAGAGGGTAGTGAGGGTAGTGAGGGTAGTGAGGGTAGTGAGGGCAGTGAGGGTAGTGAGGGTAGTGAGGGTAGTGAGGGTAGTGAGGGTAGTGAGGGTAGTGAGGGTAGTGAGGGCTCCCCCTAATAAATGTACTTCAACTATTCCCATTCCAATGGGAATGTCGCAAAAGTCGCCGCCGCTGCCCAGCGATGCAAAAAATTCTCTTCGGAAATTAGTGAACAAGCGCAGCTATGTCGCATGCCGTCGCATGATGCATGCATCATGTTGATATGTTGTTTTTAGGCGTTATGTTGATACAAGCATGGTTTAATCTTATATGGCATAGCATAATCATGTTGATATGTTGTTTTTAGGCATTATGTTGATGCAAGTGTTGTTTTATGTTTATATGACACAGCATAATCATGTTGCTATGTTGTTATCATGCGATATGTTGGTGCAAACTTTGTTTTATGTTATACGACATAGCATAATCATGTTGCTAATGTTGTTATCATGTTGCAAGCCTTGTTATTTCATGTTACATTGATCACATAGCATCGTAATGCTGCTATGTTGTTATCATGAGATATGTTGGTGCAATCAATGTTATTTAATATTATAAGACACAGCTTAATCATGTTGTTATATGTTATTATCATGTTCCAAACATTGTTATTGTATGTTATCCGACATATAATAATCATGTTTCTATGTTGTTATCATTCGATATGATGGTGCAAGCATTGTTATTTTATGCTATCCGACATAGTATAATCAAGTTGTTGCTATGCTGTACATCTGCTATTTTCAGGTGATGTGGTGGCATAAGTCTTGCTATGCGATAGGTTATGGTCATCACATGTTCCTGTTGTCATGTTATTGTTGTATTTGTTATATATAATATGAGGTATATGTTAAAGAATCGTTGTAGCAGTTTCTTGTCACTGTTTTCTACTGGCCCAATTTTTAGAAGTTCTTAACTATATCAATGTTATCAATATTATTTATGTATTAATTATATAAATCACAATATTGTTGTTGTTATCAATATTGTTTTGTGCTATTGTTTTTAGCAAAAACACGTTGCTACCAACAAACGCTCTGTTTTTAAGACCAATATCGTAATTTTTAGCTAATGCAATATTACAAATTTTTTTAAGTTGGTACTTGAATAATCATACTGTTTAATTAGACCTAATAAAAATGCTTATTACACCTAATTTGTTGTGGTTGATAAATTTATAAATTTTTTAAAATTTATCAGTTTGAAAAATTTTCACATTTTTAAATGAAAATTGTGAACAAGTCAATAGAATAATTTGAATTTCAAACTAAATAATCATCTCTGTTTAGTAATTAAAATTAGCAATGATATCTTCACGGGATTCAGAATCTGTCATTTTTTAGAGGGAATTTCAAAGGCTTTCCCGCTAAATCTGGAGCGTTGCCATTAGGTTCACTGTTCCATGCCTGGCGCTGCTGATGAGCAAAGCAGAGGGAAATTCCGCTAGAATGGCAACATTTCAGCAGGCGAGGAGTGTTGCCAAATGATGAGGTAATCCCGCTAGCATTCGGGGGAGGATTAAAGTCTATTTAAAGTCGCCATTTTCAAAGCCAAATTAAAATCCGCGGCGGCCACAGTTTGCCTTTCATCGTCGGCCACGCAGAAATGAGGTAAAAATTGCGTGTAACTTCAACGAAAACAAAATTTAAAGCCATGCAGAAAAATTTTAACGTTGATCGTGATGCAAAAGATCGATAATTCAGGCCGGAAAGTTGTCAGTAAATACGCGGGTAAATTGTCACTGAATAATTGGGAAAGCTACAAGTAATTAATTGGGAAAGTTGTAAGTAATTAATTAGGAAAGTAATAAAAACTTAATTGAAAAAATTATAAATAATTAATTGGGAAATTTATAAATAATTAACTGTGAATGTTATATGTAATTGAATGGGAATGTCATAGGTAATTAAATGAGAAAGTTATAAGTAATTAATTGTAAAAGTTATAAGTAATTAATTGGGATAGGTAGTTATTAGTGATTATTTGGGAAAGTTTCAAGTACTTAATTGGGAAATTTTTTAGTAATTAATGGGGAAAGTTATAAGTAATTAATTGTAAAAGTTACAGGAAATTAAATGGTAAAGTTATAAGTAATTAATTTGACAAGTTATAAGTAAATAATTGGGAAAGTTATAAGTAATTAATTAGGAAAGTTATAAGTATTTAATTGTGAAAGTTATAGGTAATTAAATGGGGAAGTTATAAGAAATTAATTGGGAAAGTAATTCAAGTAATTAATTTGGAAAGTTAAAGTGGAAAATGCATAAGTAATTATTCGGGAGTGTGATAAGTAATTAATTGGAAAAGTTATAAGTAATTAATTGGGAAATTTACCACTTGACAACGTACAAAATCTCTGTGAAAAACGAAAAATAATCATCAAATAAATGGGAAAGTTAGGTTTTCTTAATACAATCCAAAATTAAAATCTCAGAAGGCAGTCTGTAACTATTAAAAATTAATACAATCATACATTTTTATAGAATATTATTAAATGATATAGTACATCATTATTTTGTTTTATAATGATATGTAATAATTATAGAATGGGAATAAATAACACTTTTTCCAACAAATTATTTGTCATAAATGTTCAGAATAATGTTCGTTAGGTTGTAACAATAAATTTAGTAAAGAAGATTGTTACAATAGTTCAGGATTGTTACAATAATTCAAGATTGTTACTATAGTTCAAGATTGTTACAATAGTTTAAAATTTTTGCGATTGTTCCAGATTGTTACAATAGTTAAAAAATTTTACAATTGTTCAAGATTGTTACAATAGTTTAAAATTTTTGCGATTGTTCCAGATTGTTACAATAATTCAAGATTGTTAAATCTCGTAATGAAAATTATTTCATTACAATTAGTAGAGCATATTCCAATTGATTGCAATTTTTTTAATTGTGTAAATTTTCATCAGTTTTTTTATTGTGCATATCAATTTTTAATACTGCACGTTTTGAAATATTATTAAAATAATATTAATATCATGTTTCTAAATAATAAAAAGCTTACGTATCGAAAGGATGCTGGAGACGCGATGGAAATCCATAGAAATGACATTAATCCATACGTGGATTTGGGGAAAGGGTGATGGAGAAGGGGTGAGGGTGAAGGGGTGAGTAAGAAGAGGGGATAGGGAGAAGAAGAGAAAGGTGAGGAGGGGACAAAGAGAAGAGGGGTGAGGGAGAAGAGATAGGGAGAAGGGGTGAGGGAGAAGGGGTGAGGGGGAAAGAGGGATAGGGAGAAGTGGTGAGGGAGAAGGGGGAATAGGGAGAAGAAGAGAAAGGTGAGGAGGGGACAAAGAGAAGAGGGGTGAGGGAGAAGGAAGGCGAGGGAAAAAGGGTATGGAAGAACAGGGATAGGGAGAAAAAAGAAAGGTGAGAAGGGGGTAAAAGAGAAGTGGTATGGCACGTGATGGAGAAGAAAGGAGAAGGGGAAAATGAATGGAATGACTGGCGGGAAGCGTGGATAGCACAGAAAGTACAAACTAGAGAAAGAGAGAAAGAGGGAGAAAGAGAGAGAGAAAAAGAGAGAATGAGGGAAAGAGAGAGAATGAGAGAAGGAGAAATACAGAAAGAAATAAAAAGAGAAAGAGAGAAAGAGAGAATGAGAGAAAGAGAGAAAGATAGAAAAAGAGAAAGAAAAAAGAAAGAAAGAATAAAAAGCAGTTTAAACCAAGAATTCTTTCTTCAATTCATTACTTGAAAATTTTTCTTCACACGAACTTTTATTTTTTAGTTCGAGCTCCAACTGACATATCTTATCTTAATAATCAAATTAATCACTCCTATATTTTCATCGGCCACGTATGTATTGTTAGACAAAGTAAATATATTCTTAAGAAGCAAATAACAATAACAACAATACGAGTGGGAATAACAGCAATAATGAACACAAAGGGAATAATATATACGATAAAGATGGGAGTGTGGGATAACGTACGAATGTATGGGAGAATGTGCCATATGTTCCATTGTACGTCATTGTACGCTTTTTGTACATTTTTATTACTCTTCCTTACGCACGCTTTTGGTAGGGATTACACTCGAGAAGGGGCAAAAGCACAAAGATCTTTATTTTTATGTGTGTCTTTGTGCTTGTGCAGTTTGTGCTGCATGTGCCTTTGTGCTATTGTGTTATTGTGCTAAAACTTACGCGTGTGCTGGCGTGTTGTTAAAAATACGCAAAATTTATACGCATGATGCGACAACAGTGACAACAGCAGTGACAACAGCAGCGACAACAGCAGTGACAACAGCAGTGACAACAGCAGAGACAACAGCAGTGACAACAGCAGTGACAACAGCAGTGACAACAGCAGTGACAACAGCAGTGACAAGAGCAGTGACAACAGCAGTGACAACAGCAGTGACAACAG